ACGGCGGGAGAGGCGAGTGTGGGAAGGTGCTTGGTTGCCACTGTGCGTTTACTAAGGTGACGATCGGGTAGGAGAGGGGCCCACCTTGCCCAGTGCGGCGGCCCTCTGGGCGGGGGCAGGGCAGCGGCCTCCCCAGGGTTCGGTCAGATGGACAGAGCTGGAAGGGCAGGAGGACAGAAGTCCAAGAGGGGTGAGCGAGAGGCAGCCCCCACTGCCTGTCTCCTGCTGAGGATGGAGAGACAAAGACCAAGCCAGGGATGGAGCTGGACTTCGGATCTGGTGGCAGGAACCTTCTGGACGCTGCCAGTGTGGATCACACCAGGGCCACCCGAACCATCTCGGCACTTACCATGCTGAGCATGCTCACACGCACCACGGTGGCTAAGGGGGCCTGAGCTCCCCGGCCTGCTGGCCTGCGTTTGAATCCAGCTGCACCGACCCTGGGCCACGTGACCTTGGGCGGGCCGCTCTGTGACCCAGGTTCTCTTCTGGAAAAAGCAGCATCTCCCCCACAGGGCTGTCACATGATTGCATGTGATAGTTATGAAGACTGCCCGGCCCACAGGCCCCCGTGAACAAGTCTTTCCTATTGGCATTCTTAACTTGTCTGTTCTCCCCACCAGACTGGTTTCTTCCAAAAGGACACTGGAGAAGCCCTGGGAATGTTTGCTGAGTAAGTATATCGGCTGCCGCGTGGCTGGTACTAGGGCCAGAGCGGGGAGCAAATCACACTGGTCTGTTGCCTCACGGACCTTCTAGCTATCGACGGGGAGAGGCATAACCCAAAAAATGACACTCATACAATCCAGTCACAACAATGGCCATGTGCCTGTGACGGGGAACCACGTTGAGACTGTATAACAGTCTTCCTGGTGGGGAAGGATGCCCTGATGAGGCTCTGAGGCATGAGTAGGAGCCAACTGGCCAGAGAGACAAGAGAAGCCAGGGAAGCTGATGGAAGCGTGCTAGGCAGGTGGGAGCATGTGCAAAGGCCCTGTGGCTGGAGAGAGGGAAGCCCTATGAGGCTGCAGCATGGGGAGCTGAGAGGGTGGGCAGCTGGAGGGGAATGAGGACTGGACAGGACTCAGTCCACCAAGGGCCTACAGGTCATGCTAAGTGCAGTGGGAAGCATTCAACATTTTAAATGGAGATAATATGATCAGCTTTGCATTTTAAAGAATCCCTCTAGCTGGGATATGGAGACATTTGGAGAGGGTAGGGCTGGATGTGGGGAGTCCGACTGGGAAGGCAGCAAGTGATCCAGGTGAGAGATGATGGTCACCTGGACCAAGACGGTGATGGAGATAAATGGAGAGAAAGTAGACAGCGTGGTCATGGCCGCGGATGGAATGTGGAGGGTGAGGAAGAAGGAGGTGTCAGGGTGACTCCAGCATGTGCTGTACCACAAGGCAGAATCTTCGCTGAGATAAAGAACAAGCAAACCCCAGGGATTTGGCCAATGTCTGGGACTTACGGTTAGCTATTATCTATCTTCATCTTTCTGCATCATCATCTTGCAGATGAGCAAATGGAGGCCGAGTCCTACTAGGACCCCCTGAGGGCCAGGACAAGATCCTGGGTCTCTGGATCTGCCCATACCCAGCCCACCTGGTGCCAACAGAGTGAGTCGGGAAGGCTTCATCTGTGGCAAGAGGTACACACGTCTGGCCCCTAAGGCAGTCCTGGGCTTCTCAGAAGACGGGATGAGTAATTTTGATAATTGAATTTTTTAGTTAGACTTAAAATATGGCCAAGATTGAAGAGGCAATTTGGCAGGGTCGGCAGCCCCCAGGCAGGTCTGCCTCCATAATGCTGAGAGCTTATTAACAAGATCACTCTTCCATTCCCAGCCCCTTTACAAGTGGTTCTCGGGGCTGCTGTGTTGAGGAATTCAATTGTGGGTCGCCGGGGCCAGAGTCACCCAGAGATGTGTTGTTGGAAAGGATAGTGAGAATACTTTGGTTTGTAAGGAAGGGCTGCAGTTTTTTGAATAGATAGCATTCTGGGGAGACAGGATAATCCAGAGGACAGGACAGAGAACAGGTTTTGACAGACTCAGGCTCAAATCCTGGCTCCCACATTTACTAAGGGGACTCTCCCCCCGTCTTCTCATTTGTGAAATGTGCAGGGTGGTGCAGATTAATGAGACCAGGCAGGGCACAGCCACTGCTGTGAAGACAGGCACTGGCCCGGGAGGGAGGTGGACAGGTGGGCCAGGGCGGGGTGAGCAGGAGGCTCCCAGGTGAGCTGCAGATCCTGTGGCCCCCCTCCCGCTCCCCCTGTATATTTAGCCCCTGCAGCTACTGCTCTCAGGTGCAGCTCCTCAGCTCACGTGGTGATTAATTTCACTGCCGGAGAAATTGACACATCCTCCTGAATTCAGCTGCTGGTAAAATTAACTCACTAGGGACAATGGAGCTTTCTCTGAGGTCCAAATTGTCCTTATTCCAGTTTGTTCTTGGCCTGGATCCAGCCCAAACAAACCAGGCTGCTCCTGTATCCCCCAGAGGAAGGAGGGCCTCCACTAGCCCAAGGTTGGGAACATTTTACACGAGTCTCAACAGGGCGGCAAGAATCTACTTTGCTTTGGGTTACTGTGTTCGTGGACAGTTGTGGGTAACTAAGCGAATGGCCAGCCCGGTTCCCAGAGCCCCCTCCTCTGTGGGCCCTGCTCTCAGGCATGCCTGGGCTTATCAACCAGATGGACCTGGGATGTAGCAGAATCCAAGGTGGATCACCTCCACCCTTCTAGCTCATGCCTTTGAAATGACCAAGCTCAGTGCTCATGGGCTGGGCAGTAACCGTGTGCCGGACAATATATGTACCACTTACCCTGCCGGTTCAGCTGAACCCAGCTCCAACTTCCAAGCCTAGCCTGGGCTCTAAGCACTCACTGTACCACTGACCATCACACACAGACGTGGACACACACACACACACACACACACACACACACCCCTACACGCTTGTGCGCATTTGTGCACATCAGCCACGTGAATGTAAAGCAGTGCTTCAAACATCTGCTTGAGACCAGCAACTGAGAAACACTGAAGACTCACGGATTTTTGGAAAAGGTCCTATTGTTCAGCGAGTTCCAAAGTTTGAGGCTCACGACTATAACCGGGACTGGACAGAGGGGGGGACTGCCATTTCAGGGGCAGAGAGACTGGTAAGGGAAGCATGCCACCTGGGACGAGGCGCCAAACCTCCTGCTGCCTCCGCGGGAGCACGCTGAGCCACCTCGTGTGCAGATGGGAGCTTCCATGGAGGAATCCATTTGCTCAACTTCCCGAAAAAGGGGCTGCCGCGTTATTTTATGCGCGTATCAGTTTTCACATACTGGCATGTATTAAAATAAGGTACATCTGTGCAAATATTTCTCATGAAGAAAGCTCAGATGACAGGAACCCAAGCAGAGCAGGTCCCCACTGACCCCCTGCCCCACCCCCACACTTCATGGGAAACCAAGGCCAAGAGGCAGGGAGCCCGGCATGGGAGGCCTGCCCCTCCACTCCCAATGCCTCTGGCTCACAGTCACCTCAAATCATCCTTGTGTCCGCGGAGCTGCGGGGACAGCAGCGAGAATACAACGTGGGGTTTGGCAGGACAAAAGGGATCAGGGCCTTGGACAAGTCACACTGGGCAGAGCAGGGCCTGGTACACCTTGTTAGGGACTTGGGCTTGGAGCCGAGAGTCAAACTGTTTCAGGCGGGGCAGCATCCTGGGGCAGATGGTGCTTTCTCGCCATACCTCGGCTGCTACAGGGCACAAAAGGAATTCAGATGTGGCCGCAAGATTCGAGAAACCTGGCGGGAGAGGAACTAAAGACAAGGAGCGCAGGGGTAGGGAAAGAGGCAAAGGGACCAGAGACTAGGACCTCCAAGAGGTCAAAGCAGAGGAGGGGACAAGGAGCGAGCAAGCTGACGGACATGAGGCGATGGTTCAAGGGCAAAGTGTCAGAATGAGTGATTGCAGAGGAAGAGCAAACTGAAGTGTCCCCCACACAGACGCCGAAGTCCCCAGAATGATGGCCGGCCTGGGCACAGAGGGAGGTGGAGTCAGGATTCGCTGTGCTCCCCGATGATGGGCTGCTCAGCGGACGCCTGCTCCTTGGCACTGAGGTGAGCATGGGGCCATGAGGCAGAAGGAGCAGAGCTGAGCACAGAGCATGGGCTGGGGGAGCCCGGTCTGCCGGTGCCTCTGTGGGGTACGGTGGGCTTCTGCAAAGGGGGCTGAGCCCTACCCCGTTGACTTCTCAGCCATCAGGAAGCTCATGACAAAGACAGAGGATGATTAAACACAAAGGTCAATGACAAGGGCGTAGCAAACCACCAGGCAATGTTATGGGACAGATGGGACAGTGGAATGGAAAGAGCACCATCATCCTGGGGTCACTGCATGACAAGTCCCCGCTCCGGGCCTCACTCGGACCTCTCCTCCCTGGGAACGGCACCCCTCAGGGGATGGCTCTGGGACATGACCACACACGGCCCAGTGCAGGCCAGATGCAGATACCGGGGCCCGGCCATGCCGCACGTTGTCCTTCCTCTCTGGACACCTGAGTGACCTTAGCAGAGACCTTGGGAGGTATCCGAGGGCCGTGCCATCCCCAAGACCCTGGCCTGTCCCGCTTTGGAGTTCAGGCCCTGGGCTTCCAGGCTCTGCACGAAGTAACTGAATCACCAAGTTGACATGCACCATTCAGTGAGGAGCCTCCCACTGCGGAGCTGGCTGAGCACGAAGCCAATCTACGGTGGCCACGAAGGCCGCCGTGTGTTCAGCAATGACACCACAGCCCAGAGGCAAAGCGCCCAGCGCCCGAGAGCTCGGGGCCTGTTAGGAGCCTCACTGCTGGGCACCCAAACGCTGTCTGACGACAACCCTTAAACCGACTTTAGGAGAGAAAACATAAAGGGAAAAGCAGATTTCCTTCAGCCAGACAGTCCTTTTCTTCCCTCCATAAATCGAAACCACACTTGTAACAAAGCCACAGCGGGAGCTCAGTGGGAACCACAAGCTTTATTGGCTGGAAAGTTCTCCTCAGGAGCCTGGTCGGCTGGGGCTGGATGTTCCTGGATGGGCACCCCCAGGCCTAAGCTAGGAAAAGGGAGGGAGAAAAGGAGAATTTTAGGTCCCATGGAGGGCCTCCAAGTAATAAGATCCGCAGCAGAGTTCAAGGCGAAACTGTTACGCTGAAACTACTTTCAAGGACACACTGTTTACTCAGTAAATATTTACAGAACCCAGTGAGGTAAGATCGTATTGTATTCATTCCTTCTACAGATGTTTATCAAACACCTACTACGCACCAGGCACTGTTTGCTGTATTTCTCACTCGGAAAAATAGCCAACAAATGTAATAATTAGAACAAGCCCTGAAAACACGCGATGATAAAACAAAACTTTTTATGTGCTGCTGGTGGAAAAATGCAATTGTTTGTGGAAGACGTGTGTCCTGGTTTCACCTTCAGCTTCGTTTTTCAAAAGAAGTCACTTCCTGCCCGGTGCCCATTCCCCATGCCCCAAATGGGCTTCCAATAACAGAACTCAAAGGGGCATTACCTCCAGGTTTCCTCTGGCCTTCCGAAGGATTTTGTGGGTTACGACCACTGAGAAGAAAGAAAGAATGGGATTGTTAGACACAGATGCTCAGGGAGACAGTGTAAAAGCCGGCTGCTGGGAGGAAGCACCCCCTGAACCCCAAATGGGTCAGGTAGACATGTGGACAAGCCAGAAGCATCCAGACCCAAGAGAGGTGTGGAAGGCTCCAGCTGCCCATCACACACCCCAAGACCAAAGAGTCCATGGTGGGCCAGAGTCACCTCCTCGAGGTCATGCTAAGCCACAACCTCACAGCGATACCAGCCCGTGTTTCAGGCTCGGCAAAGCCTGTGGATGCCCAGGCAACCCTAGGGCTCACCTCTATGGGTCCGAAGGGCGAGGGCAATGGTGCAGGGCAGGGGAGAGTCCCGTGCCTAGCCCCCACACACTTTGGTCTCCTAGGCCCTCCTGAGGCACAGCTCTGGGAAGGGGGTGTGTCCAACCCCAAGCAAGCCCATGTGCCAAGGCCCAAGGCAAGGGTCACAGGCAGTTCTGCAAAGTCAATTTTTACCCTCAGAGCAGGCGTTCAAATCAATTGGGGGAAAGCATGAACTCTGGGCATTTTTTTCTCCTTAGATGTCCTTAGCTGGGAGAAGAACCCAACATGATTCCCTGGATGGGACGAGTCCAGAGGTCCCACCAATCAGATGCTCTAAACTGTGTGCAGGGCAGATGCTCAGTGAATCAGGAGCCCTGGGAGGAAGCAGGGTGCCTGCCTTTCAGGGCAGCAACTGTAAAGTGAGGCCGCTTCCTCCCTGAATCCTTTTCTTGTCCAACACAAACACCAGCAGCGGTGGGAATGCCACCACTAAAGAGATTTCTGGCCCGATCAGGGGTCCGTTCTAAACATGCCTCGGTGAGGATCATGCAATCCGCTTACTCCCTGGGGAAGACAGAGTCAAGGCTTCTGGAACTGGGCCTTTGGCCAATGGTGCCCAAGGATGAAACAGACTCCCCATCAATGCACACACAGTCCAACTCCCCAATGCCTCCTTCAGAAGAGGAGCCATGTGGTGGCCTTGGGAAAGTATTTATTTCTTGCCTCACAAAATATTTCCAACGAAGTAACAAAGTCTGTTTGCAATCTGTGATACCCGGGGGGTGGGTGGGGGAGACAGCCAGTGTGGGCTGTTTTTAACTGGCCAAACTGGATTTCAGAGGTGCCCACTGTCTCTCTGCGCCCTCCACCCCCATGCCACAGGGCAGGAGTTCTGCACCTGGGTCCGGGGTTATGCTTTAGGAGGGGTCCTAAATCCCTGGAAACTATGTGCAAATCTCTGCATGTATCTGGGTGGATGCGTTCTTCTGGAAAGACCTCCTACCTCTTCTGAGACTTGCCAAAGGGCCTGTGACCCAGAAAAGATTAGGTACCCCAGGTGTAGAGGTTTAAAATCATACTGAAAGGGGACCAGAAGTACCAAAAGCACAAGACTCCCCGTGAAGAACGAGGGCTCACCTGCCCCAAGCATGAAAGGGCCTCACATCTGCACAGTACTGCTCACCTTCCAGAGCCCGGAAATCCCTGCTGCCAGGAGAAGCCCGAGAGACAGAGCAGTAACAAGCTCGTCCCAAATCCAGGCTTGCCCAGTGCTGAGGCATGACTCGAACCCAGGACTGCCCAACTCCACGCAGGGTTCCTCCCACCTCAGCAGAGGGCTGACAAAGAAGCCACCAGCTTCGGTATCTAGCTCGTGACAGGCAGCTTGCTGACTGTGACCTCAGTGAATACCCCCAAGCCTGTCCGGGCGGCATCCCTAGGTCAGAGGCTGGAGGTGAGGCCGTGGTTCCAGGTCACGTGACAAGGAAATGGCAGGGGCCCTTGGGTCTCCCCGTGACAGCTTTCCCTCCTTTCCCCTGCAGACTCTGGGAGCAGACGAGGTGTTCAGCTTGGTCAAGACCAGCCCCGGGCCCTTGCTCTTCCTGGTCACCATGGTGGGGGAGGGGGGCAGAGGAGGGGACACTACACCAACTTTCGCTTCATCCTTCAGAGCCAGGAGCAGACCTGAGGCTGGCAGGTTCGGGGACTCTCCAAGGACCTGGCTCACTGGGCGGAGCTACACAGCCTGGCACTGGAGTCATCACAGGCCAGGGCTGGCCACCAGCTGGGCCACCTTGGGAAACCCCTCACCCGGCTCTGAGCCGAGCCCTGCAGACACGGAAATGGGTGACACCGCTTTAGCGGGGGCAGTGGTATGAGACATCTGTGGTTTTTCTATTAACGGTCTGCCACCTGTACTCATAGGATCCAGTCTGAACTCATGGGAAAAAAGGAGGAGGAGAACTAGTGTTTGTTGAGCACATGCTCTGTTCCTGAAAAAAGCATAATAAAGTTGAGGTATCATTACCATCCCATTTTACAGATAAGAAAACTGAGGCACTTCTAACTAAGTTGTGATTAGAACCCAGGCCTGTCTGGCCAACCCGAGTCCGTTGGAATTACTGTATCTGGTTAGAGATGAGGAATTAGAAGCTCAGGGAGTTAAAGTCATTTATTCCAGGTCACACAGGGGTGTGGAAATCTGAACTGTGCTCAGTAATGACTCCAGGATCACTGACGTGGGGCTCAGAGGCTGCATCGACCATAGTAACTTGCCCATCTGAACCTACTGCCCACTTCCAAAATCTCCTCACCAGCAAGTGAGGTGCATTTCATGAGCCCTGTGACTGTTCGGGGCTGCCACGGAGAGATGCCACTGCAGAGTCCTACTGTCCCTGGATTGGGGGCTGCGCAAAATCGCCACCTCCCACCCCCTGCTGCCCTGGGGGTCTTACCCGAGCGCTCCACAGGGGCCTCACACATGACCACGACTGGCGCTGTCCCCCAGAGGTGCCTCCAGCGCTTTTACTCTATGTGTGACGGGAAGCCCGGGCCAGAACCCTGCGACAGCCACCACTCGGCCAGGGTTGCCTCCTGACAATCTGCCAAAACCATCCCCTCCCCTCCATGGCCCTGCCCCAGCCCTGCCAGGCCTCCCTGCTGTCATCAGGGGGACTGCCATAGCCCCCAAAAGGTCTCTCTGCCTCCTGCCACACACAACCCCCCCACACTGCTCAGCCACAAGGACCTTCTAAGACTCGATGGGCCACATTGACTCCTGTCACTCATTCTTGAGTCCGTCCACAGGTCCCTTGGGACCCTACTTAGCTCTTACGCTTTGTCCCTCAGACCAAATCCCTTGGCATATCCTAAGTATGTTCCTGAATACTGAGTTCCCACCCTTGAGGCCACCTGCCATAATCCTGTCCCTACCCCTTCTCTAACTCCTACTCATCCCTCAAGACCCCATCAGTCCAGAGCCCTGAACCACCTGAGGCCGCTGGGGATTCGCTGCCCTGCAGCTAACTTTTGCTTCTGCCCCGTTAAGCCAAAGCTCTGTGCTGGCAGGAACTGTCTCGTTCACCTCTGTGCCCAGAGCCTGGCACGGGGGCATGGAGCACAAAGTTAGCACCTGCCCCACGACTGAGCATCTTTCTTTCACACTTCCAACTGTGCCAGTCTCACGGAGTCTGCTTCAGAAGGTTCCTTGGGGGGTAGCTAAGAAGAACTCCTACCCGACAACAATCTACGTTCTGTGCTTCTCAGAAATGCCCCAACGACACTGGCCTTGGAGAAGACAGCAGCATGGAGCAGGCGGGTAGCTCCAGAGGAAAGCCCCAGTCGGCAGCCCTCCCAGAACGGGGACAGGGACAGGCAGACAGCGAGGCTGGGCCAGGGCTGTGACGCCCACAGGCACCGGCAGAAACTCGGCGGTGCACCCATGCTGTGGGTTTCTACTGGGGCCAGAGAGCTGTTCCCCACCATCTCTGAAGCTCCCGGATCAGGACGAGCAGTGACGTTACAAATGCTATTTAGCCTGAGTTTCTGTATCTGCCCTGAGAAGTAATTCTCAAAACCATCCCCTCCCCCTGGATCTTCACGGCCCGGCCGAGGCCTCCTTCTGGCCTGCCCGGATCAGGGCAGCAATCACCAGCAAGCCTTTCCCACACACACAGCAACAGGTCCGTGCTCTGCCCTGCACACGACCGGCCCGGGGCCTGCGCCCTGAGGCCTTTCACGATGCAGTTGCAGTCCCAGTCCCAGCGACCCCTCCAGCCTCAACCTGCCACTTGCAGTCTTACTCCAGCCACGTGAACTGGCGTAGGCTTCTCACATCCAAAACCTTCTTTCTTACCACTCTGCCTTTGTCCACGCTGCCCCCTTTCCATCTGACCCACACCTGCTCCTTCCTGCAGACTCAGCTGTCCGTGTGTCCAAGAAGCCGACCTTCCAGGACAGAATGACGCCCTCCCCACTCCCCTCTCGGTGTTGCCTAAGGCCCTACCCCACACACATTCCTGTCAAAGCACACGCCATGCACCTGTCTCCCCAAAGAGATGACAGTCGCTGGCAGCACGTGGCCTCTCCACTGAGGTCTGTTAAGTGAATTTATTTGTGCAGGTCAGAAAGGATGAAGTATGAAAGGAAACCCATAAATAGGAGGCATGATGATAGGTGATCTGGAATCCCAAGTGGGTGTCCAGGAGGGGGTTTTTAGTCCTCAGAGGCATGAAGTGGTCAGACACAGCGGCCCGCCCCCAACCGCTCACTTACACTGATCAAAGATGATTTTTTCCTGGTGCTTGCTCAGCTGCAAAAGCTTCACAGAGTTTTGCAACTTCTTTTCTTGTTCAAACAGCTTTTTGTGTAGTTTGGTGATCTCTGCCTTCATTTTTCCAGTCTCGAGAGAAAAGGAATTGGAAAAATGAACAAAGAATACAAAACACCCTAACACATAGGAAAGAATTAAAACACATACAAAAAGATGCTCAACCTTACTAACAGCAATATTTGAATGAAAACTAGAAGCCATTTTCTGCTGGTCAGATTGGCAAAACCAGGAAAATCCAGCGGGGCCAGGGTGTGGGGCGAGCACTCTTGGGAGCAGTAGCAGGACTGCGAGTTGGCACAGTCCGGGTGGAACGCCCTGGCAAGATTTACCAAACTGCAAAATGCGCTCAACCCTTTGATCCAGCAAGTCTATACTTAGGCATGTACCCCCACCAATAAGCACATAAGCACAAGAAGATACCTATGTTCCTGGATGTTCATCTCAGCATTGTTCATAGTAGGAGCCAATAAACAACCTGGTTTGTTTCAACAGGGGTCTGCATAAGTAAATCATGGAACTCATATACGATGGCATAATTCTGCAGCTATTAAAAATGATGTTGTAGGGGCGCCTGGGTGGCTCAGTCGGTTAAGGGGCTGCCTTTGGCTCAGGTCATGATCTTGGGGGTCCTGGGATGGAGTCCCACATCAGGCTCCCTGCTCAGCAGGGAATCTGCTTGTCCTTCTCCCTCTGCCCCTCCCCCCGCTTGTGCTCTCTCCCACCCCCTCTCTCTCTCTCAAAGAAATAAAATCTTACAAGAAAATCTTGTAGAACTCTATTTATTGATGTTGAAAGATCATAATTAGTGACAAAAAGAGCCCAGAACTGCTATTGTATACCAGGCATTCCTGTTTAATAAAATTGAATACATAGATTTATATCCATAGACGTATATGTGATGTCTAAAAAATGTGATGAACAAAGAGACAACATCAAAACGTTCATAGTGATTTATCTCTGAGAGATGTGATTTGGAAGTTTTATTTTTCATTTTTAAAAATTTATCAGAATTGTTTGAGGTTTTTTTCTTTTTAACAAAAACTATAATGATCATTAAAACAAAAAAATTTAATGATAAATTTTAAAAAGAGAATATAAAATTATGATTAGGAGAGTATGATCCTCAGGAGAGCTTTCATCTTTGAGAGGTGTGGGGAACTCTGGCTCGCCACCCATTGGCAGCTAGAGTTCCCAGACCTCGAATGGGAAATGTGCACACTCTACAGGCTCTCTTAACCAGTCTCCGCTGAGCTGGTTCACAGAGTTAAGGACACTCCTTTCTCATCAACCTCCCCCCTCCAGCCACCCCCCCTAAGGCATGCTGGCACAGGGCACCCTCTGCGACGGGGAAACACCTCTGCTCCCCAGAGGGGAGACATCGGGCTGCCAACTTACAAGGAACCCCACTTAACTTTGTTCCCAAACTTGTTTATGGCAGTTTTACTTGCAATCAGTTATGGGATTTAATTAAGTATTAAGTAAACCCATGAAATGTGTATATGAAAAGAGAGAATTGGTTGTATGAAAACTAACATATGTCTCAGGAAAGACTTGATAAAGTCAAGTCACTAAAAACCACATTTCTGGCAAATTAGGTGTGGGTGAATCAACTATGAAAGATGTGGGAGGAACGTAATCTAGAAGAATTCTATATTCAAGTTGCTTTACAAGTGTCTACATTTTTTCTTCATCTTAAAAATACAGAAATTGGAAGTGACACACATACATTATGGATGTGGTTTATGAAAGAAAGGAGATGTGAAATCCTCATCAGCAGACCTACATTCAAAGAAAAGGTCCTGGCCCTACATCAAAAGAATGGCAAATGAATGTACATTTAACTGTTTTCAGTTAAACTATGATGTTTAAGGTATGTATCATCTCTTGATTCCCTGCTTTAACCTACTTTCAAGATTAACCAACTGTGTCAGCTACAAGGACGTCAACTGTTCTTCCAAAACAGATCCTAATTTAAACCTCAGGTTTTCTCTGATTCTCTTCCTCACGCTAAGAGCCCACAAAGATTTGTGTCAGGTCATGGCTTCCTAGACCACACATTCTGGGACAAAGTCATTCTCCACGGCTGTAGAACTGGGATAATCCCTGACCCCATCCATCTAGAGTGAGATGCAAAGGGGATGATGCCTGAGGACGGACCATGGTTTCCTCATCCCTGCCTGGCTAACCTCTAGTCCTCTTTCAAAAGTCAGCTTGGGCAACACCTCTCCAGGAAGCCTTCCTTGAGACTCCTCCCCAGCGGAAGTCTAGGTTGGTTACTGCTCCTTTGGATACTCACTACGCCCAGTCCTTCCCTCGTCATTGCCCATTTCATGTTGAATTTAACTGATCATTTACTTGTTTGCTTCTTCTCCCGAGACTCAATTCTTCCTTCTGACCCCCAGCACCTGGCACAGAGTAGGTGCTGTGAGACCCTTTGCCAACTGGTAGGTTAAATTTTCACTTGCACTCCCAAAATATCCTGTCCATCTTCTATCCAGAACTTAAAATAAGGCATTTTAATTCTGCATGTCTGCTATTCCTCTGAACTAAAATCTTCATTTTTACAGGATGAATGTGCCATGGCAAAAACAACAGGGCTAGAAGACCCAGCTTGGTCCATTCCAGCTGTGATGATAAAGCAAGGAATTTCAGTTCTCACGTCTGGAAAATGGTAACATAATACCTACCTCTCTGGAGGCTCCCATAAGGGATGAAAGGAGATGCTGCGTGTAGGGCAGAGTGCCTGCCACCTAGGAGAGCTCAACAGAGCAGCTCTTCCTTCAGGCCACAGAGCCCAGCTCAGAGCTAGGACACACGCCACTCCCAGGAGGCCACCCGCTGACTCAGAAGTGTTGGGCCTGACTCCCGGAGCTGGCTTTTTGAATGGTTTTTTCTTTTTTATAATGAAAAATCTCAAACATTCACAAAAGTAGAAAGAATGGGATAATGAACTGCCAGCTTCAGCGATTATCAAATAATGGCCAAACCTGCTTCATCTACGTCCCTACCCACCCACACACTAAAAGTATTTTTAAACTCAACCCCAGAAGGCAATCATATTTCATGTCCATAAAATATTTCATATATAGTTCTAGAAAAAAGATTCTTTAGAAAGAAAAACAACATTGTCACCACACCTAGAACAACAATAAAAGAAGATGTGATGTATATACACACAATAGAATATTACGCAGCCATCAAAAAAATGAAATCTTGCCATTTGCAATGATGTGGATGGAACTAGAGGGTATTATGCTAAGTGAAATAAGTCAGTCAGTGAAAGACAATTATCATATGATCTCAGTGATACGTGGAATTTAGGAAACAAGGCAGAAGATCATAGGGGAAGAGAGGAAAAAATGAAACAAGACGAAACCAGAGAGGGAGACAAACCATAAGAGACTCTTAATCATAGGAAACAAACTGAGGGTTGCTGGAGGGGAGGGAGTGGGGGGATGAGGTAACTGGGATGATGGACATTGGGGAGGGCACGTGATGTAATGAGTCCTGGGTGTTATTTAAGACTGATGAATCATAGACCTGTACCCCAGAAACGAACATTATATGTTAATTAATTGAATTTAAATAAAAAATTATTTAAAAAAAAATAATTGCTTAGTATCACCATGTACGTCAGGAGACATTTCCCTGAGCCCATCATAATTTCATTTTTTTGAACAACTGGTCCAATTCATCGGCATCCAAATAAACTCCATGTTTTGCAGTTGATATGTCTCAAGTTTCTTTCAATCCAGTGGTTCTCAGGGCTACTAAGAAGACTTGTAAAAACAGACCACTGGGGCCCACTCCCAGACTTTCCGATTATAGATCTGGGGTGAGCCCCAAAATTTGCCTTTCCATCAGATGACACTGATGTTGCTGACCCAGGGACCATAATTTGAGAACCGCTGTAAATCTGTTTTACTCCCTCTTTCCCCTCTTTTCCAGTTGGATGAAAAGATGTTCTAAGCTCATATTGTACATTTCCTGCCCCAGACCTAGAATCAAACCATTTCTCCAAGGAGTCCTGGTTCCTGTTAGTGGGAAAAGGTATTTAGAAACCACAATTTGGCAGTAGAGGTGCTCACTGGTACTGGAGTGGACATTTTTAAAGCCTAAAAGTAAATGTTTTTAATAAGAAATGTAACACAAGTTCATACTGATATTTCCAAATCAAGGATGGCAGGATTTTTGCTTCTTTGTCTTTAAATTTATATCTCTTCTCTGGCAGTAAAAATCTTAACCTAATTAGCTATTTGTTTTATCCTACAATACAAATATAACAGTTTTTAAACATCAGTACCAATATTACTATTAACAGTACCATCACTGAAAACAACATTTTTTTTTTCAGTCCTTTTTTGCCCTTAGAGTATTTCTACTAGGGATATAGTCAAAATGCTGTGTTTTAGTCTTGAAATGTTCCCTCTTTGTTGGGTATGCCTTCAATACTACATATATAGTAAGGTTTGTTCATCTTACTATCAATTTTAAGAAACTGCTCTTTTTCCATTTTGATTTATTTTCAATTATTTAAAGCACTTGTACAGTTCCAATGTCAAATTTACAAAACAAGATCTTTGCAGAGAAATCTACCTCTATTCCTGCCCTTCCCTCCTCTTCCTTCCCACCCCTCCAAGTAGCCTGTTTCCTTGTTATTGTTTATACTTCCAGTTAAAGAAAATTTTTATAAGCAAATATGTGTATATATTTGTATCTCTCCCCACAACCTTCTTAGATAAACCGATGTATATGATACACACTTTCCAGAGTAGTCCTAGGGACTGCAGGGGACGGTATATTAAATGCAAAAGGCAAATTAATGACACTCAGAGAAAACCCTAGGTCATAAAAAAAAAAAAACAAAACACTGGGGTTGCTGGCAAAAACTTGGAAATCTGCTTTACACACATTTCACACTAAGAAAAAGGCACTGTATGAAACACAGGCAGGGACAAAAAGTGGCTTGAGGCAATTTAACACCACACAGGGGGTCTGTGTGCACCAGCAACCATATCAGAGCAACTCTGAGGTCCTTTTTCTGGCTCTAAAATTCTATGATGCTAAAGTCAGCATAACCAATTATATGAGAAACGCTTGGAAAGAAGGGTGAGTCATCACAAGCGCCGGCCAGTCCCTGGACTAGTTTGCTGGTGGGGGGGGATCGATGTGACTATAATTTACATTTACACACACACACACACACGAAAGAAGATCTACATTCCTTCTGTCTATTTAACAGACACTACTGTGTACTGAGGACAAAAACATTGCATTGAGTTTCATTCAGCACATTTTATGTGCTTTAAAAATCATATGGGCAAGTACTCGTTTGGGAATAGGAGAAAAAAATTATTCACTCAAAAATATGAATAAAATAAACATGGCCCCTTCTGGGACACAGACATTAAACAAACAAATATATAATTTGCGACGAGGGCTATGATGAAGCAGAAGAGGGCGCTATGACTGAGTGACCGGGAAGCCCCTCCAACCCTGACGTAAGATGGAAGCTGAGACGGGAAAGGTGCGAAGAAGCCAGGCAGCCAAGAGGGGGGAGCCCAGGCACTCAGGCAGTCGGAGCATCTGTGTCACCGAGCCGAAGATGGAAAGAGCTCGGTGGGTGAGCAGAAAACGCAAGGCCAATGTGGGTCTGGAGCCCAGTGGGCCCTCTTCCTCTCCATGGCCCCACTGGCTAAAAGTGGCCAAAACATGATTTCCCTGCGAAATGACTGGTTACCTACCTCCCCGAGCTTAGTGCACCCAAACTTCCTCCCCAGGATCCCAAGAGGGAAATCACAGGGCAGGCTCATTAGAACCTTCCGAGGCTTCACTGCTGCCTCTTTGCCACGGCTGACAGATCTGAGAGCTGTCAGAAGGGGTTTACCTAGATGAGTAACGACATGGAATGCCAATTTCCCTCTGCCTTTCTCCTGGCCTTTGGCAAAAACTGATAGTTTAGATAAATGCAGGGTAAATATCTATCAGAGCACCAAGCAAAGTTCTAACTCTTCCTTCATCTGCATGCTCGTCCTTCCGGGAGGCTCCTTGGACGACCAGAGCGGCAGCTCGCCGTGTCACGATACCAGCTGTTTCCCACCGACGAAAACCTAGGGAGGGCCTCTGCACTGCCTGACTCCTGGTTTGTGCCATGAAAGATGGGGATGAGGATGGTTGTGGGATCAACCATTCTGAATTCGGTCACATTCAAGTTGCTGCAAAGTCAAGCTTTATGCTTTCGGGGGAAATTTCAATGGTTTTGCAATAAATGATTTTCATTGGTTAAAAAAAAAAAACTTTCGAAGGAGTTAAAACAGATTGAAACTAGAATCCCTACAATCTGACTCTGAAAGCTATCAAAAGGAATCAGAGAGTCCAGAGAAAGGCACCTAAAATGAAAGAGATTTAGAGTGGAAGGGAATGAGCTAGTCCACGAGAACAAACTAAGACTTAAAATCTATAAAATGAAAGCATACCCTTTGGATTCAGATACTTGTGCTGCCAAAACCATCTCTGTAACCTTGGTCGGGCCTCACTCCCAGACCCTCAGCTTCCCCGTGTGTAAGACGCAGACAGGATTTCCCTCCACACAGACACGCTGCGAGTGGGGACGTAGTCAGGTCAGGACCACAGGCCGAGCCCACGGGGATGCCGGGGGAGCAGGCAAGGTCACACCTGAAGCAGCCAGCACGGTGCCTGACACGACACCCTTACCAAACACGGCACCTCCCCCGTCCTCTGCCGTGTTCCCCAAACTGAGGGCACACCTGCCACAAGCAAGGTCCTGGGCTGCAGACCGAGTCACAAGCCCCAGTGGCATCCCTAAGCCTCGGGATCCGGGTGTCACCACCTACCTGTTCACACTGAAGCGGGCACTGGCCAGTTGTGGGGAGTGAGACCCTCCAGAAAAGCGTCAATAATCTCGCAGCCTCTTCGAGGATCAGATTGGCTGTGCCCACGCTGGTGACAAACCTGTTCAGAGGCGCCAAGTGTGGACCCTGCGCAAGGGGCGGGGGGTGGGCGAGGGGAGAAGGTTGTTACATGCCATTGAAAAAGATTATGGACAAGCCGGCTTTAATGGGCAGCATAAATCTCCAAACCGCAGGGCTTGTGTCCACATGCTGAGCGAGAGCCTGGTGCCAGACAACACCAATTTATTGTTCTTAAAGACTGGTGAATTATAGATTATGAGAGAATTTCGGTGGTGATTTTAGCCCAATCAATAACCATGATTAATAACCACCTGCGTTAACTGTATTTACTACGCCAAGAAGAGGGGAAGAGGGTCCGTGGTAGGGCCACTCGCATGGCTCCGCACCACGGAGCCTCTCCGGAAGGCAAAAGGTGCCAACAGCAAGGGACGAAACACGAGTGCTTCTGTCTTCAGCAGCCCCTGCTAAACGGCGCTGCGTACTGCCAATATGAAGTTGGGGCCTCGTAAAGTCTCCCTCACCGTCTGCTGACAGAGGCAAACCCTAATCGGGGGATGTCAAGGGCAAGAGAAAGCCAAGAACATGAGCCAAAGAAGGGAAAACAAAATACAGTTTAAAAAGAAAAGAAATTAAAAGAGCGCTGTCTTCACGAGGAATAAAATCACTACAAAATAAAATGATGCACTCTTTAGCTATCAAATTGGCAAAAAACCATACCTAAAACAATAAATAAAATTAGTTAATGAAGAATAAGGTGCAGTGAGATGCTCTCACTTGTAAACAGGGATACGTATTTTTGGAAATAACGCATCAACAGTTCTCCCCAAAGGGCCCTGAAGGGTTCACAGCCTGGGAGTGAGCTGCCTTCCACTATCCGCAATCCATCCCTAATGAACTAATCAAAGATGCCACGGGAGGTCTGTGTACAAGGGTGCTCACCACACCTCACATGTCGAAAAAACAGGGCAAAGAGTAAACAAATGGTGTTACCTCCACATATTGGCTTATTTTCCAGCCCCTAAAAGTTCTAGAAAAATGCTGAATGGGATAGGAAAATTGTTTATATGTTAACTGAGAGTCAAAATACAAAATTCATGTGAGTCAGTTTTATTAAAGTTTATGAATGAGCTAAAAGAGTGTGTGTGTGTATCAACATTTCAAGCACTGAACACCCTGTGATGTTTTTATGCTTTTGTACAATAAAGATTATGATCAGAAAACAACAGTAATCTTATTAACATTTATGAATTCATTCAACAAATATTTACCATGCACCCGCTGCACGCCAGGCCCTGTCCTAGGTAGTAAAGATACAACGTTGAGTCAAAGAGACACTTGTCCCTGCGCCCCTGAAGTTTATTATCTAGTGAAATGTAAAATACCGAATGACTTTTACAATAGAGTAAAACAAAATAAAACAAAAAGGCAAATCAGGTACCAGGAAGCAGGGGGCCTCAGGACCTGAGAAGAGGGACCAGAAAATGTGACCCACGGAAGCTTGGTGGTTGGGTCCAGTCTGGGAGGACAGAGAAAATGTGACCCCAACCCTTGGAGGAAGCGAATGAGTAACTTTGTGTCAAGCACCTGGCACACTGGGTCCTCAACAAAAGGTACTTTAAAGTGAGGAGGATCCAGCAGGATGAGGCAGGAAAGAGTGACCCCAGGGAAGAGCTCGCACTGACAGGGTACAAACCTCGCCAAGGGTCCCTCCCATAGATCAGTGCCCCGGACTGGACCTGACCCCTGAGCTTTCGTGGGCTCCACTTCCTGGTCCCCCTTCTCAGGGCCTTACCGAGGATGCACGCACCCTTTGCCTCTCGGAGCCCTCAGGTGCCCCTTGCACTTACTGCTCCAGTGAGCACCTCACCCCCTCCCGCAGTCAGTCAGGTTACCTTGGTTCCCGGCTCTGGGCTTGCGGGCTGGGGAGCCTCTTGGATCTGAAGGGCCATCTCGGCAAAGAGCTTCTGGCCCTGGCCAATCTGCTGGCACAGGGCCTCGTAGTCCCCAGCCAGGCCCAGGACGTGGCCGCCACTCGTGTGGGCCCACGGGCGGTGGCCAGCGACCAGGTGGGACGCACATGGGGTGCTGGTGACCGAGCTGCCACTGTTGCAGGAGAGGGAGTCCGTGTCATTTCCAGAGAGTGGAGGAGTCTCTGAAGCTACAACATGAGAGGGAAGATGTCAGATCCACTTGGGGCAGTATCCTGTGTTCATCGAGCTGCGTTCAACGACGCTAAAGCCAGGTGGGAGGAGAGAAAGGCCTGCGTCCCAAATGCCACCCGGCACAGCACAGGGGGGCGGCAAGTGGCCTGGCTCCCAGACCTTCGTCTATTCACCCGCCCCGGGCTCATTCGTCTGAGGGGAGAAGCTCGATTCAATTCAACCAACACTTATCAGGCACCCACTCTGCAAAGACCCCTGATCTACACAGACGAATCAAGCCAGTGTCTGCACTCCAGGAGCCCATGGTCTAATCAGACACCACGCGGGAGGTGTAACAGCACAATGACGAAGAGCCAGAGCTCAGAGGAAGAAATAATCAATTCCCTGTGCAGCAGGAAGAGAGATCAGGAAAGGCTTCCTAGGAGAAGCAACAATTGAGCTGGGTTGAACAAGAAGCAAAAAATTACACTAAACAGAGGCAAAGCCTGTTGCTTTTTACCTTTGGATCAACAAAAGTCCAGATGAATAATTCTGACTGGGGGCCTCAGAAAAGTCATTTCACAAAGAAGTCTGCATTCAGAATAAGCCTCGGGGCAGGAGGAGGATTTGCATGGCAGAGAATGGGACAAAGGTGGCCTGGAAAAAGACGGAGCCACAACGCACGGTCCCAGTGAGAGGAGAGTGAGGGCCCGTCTGCAGGATGGGGACCCCTCTGTATGGCCATATGAATGCAGATGGACAGGGCTGGATGGGCCCACTGGGGCTGGATGCTGGAGGCCTTAAAGCCACACTAAGGTGCTCACACTTCCATCTAAGGCCACAAGGACCCAATGACGTTGCTGAGCTTAATAACACCGAGGAATAGATTAACAGGCGTGGGGGAGGAGCTCACCAGCTAGACATGCTGAAGCCCCAAATCCTGACAAACACTCTCCTGATTGGGACCAGGGACGCCCTTTCATTCAATTTAAAAAGTCCTACTGCCACACCCAACCCCGCCACAGTTACCCAGACTTCAGCTTTGTACCTGATCGTGGTGGCACCACCAGGGTGGAATCAAATAGATCACAGGAATTATCTATCGCCATGGGACATTTGTCACCACCTGCAAGATGCAAAATAAGAGAAGGAAAAGAAACTGGCATTAGCATTTGAGAAAGAACTGAATGAGGATACAGTATAGCACCAGACACACACAAGCATCCACTCAAATCTCCCCTGGGACTGGGATCCCCTCTGCAGGACCCTGGGGACACGGGGCACCCGGGTGGCTCAGTCGTTAAGCATCGGCCTTCGGCTCAGGTCATGATCCTGGGGTCCTGGGATCGAGCCCCCATCGGGCTCCCTGCTCCGAGGGAAGCCTGCTTCTCCCTCTCCCACTCCCCCTGCTTGTGTTCCCTCTCGTGCTGTCTCTCTCTCTCTCT